CCCATTCTGCACTTTTGCTGTCTTCCACCTCTGTGAACTGCTGCCCTCTGCCATGTGCCACTCTGCCTTGGAGCCAGCTGAGTATGGACTGAAACCTGCACTAACTGTGAGCTAAGTAAACCTTTCCTTCCTTGATTCTCGGTGTGGGGTATTTTGTCCCAGCAGTGAGGAAAAAGTAATAGAGACACTCAGTATTAATTATTCCTTTTAAGTATGAGTCCATAGGTTTATAGTATGCTGTCACTGAGATCCAAAGTGTCTCCCCAAAGTCTCACACATTCCTAGGAGCAGTTTGGGGAAGGTGAAGGACCCATGGGAACGTCATACTCACCAGTGCTTTCGTGAGTTCAATAGGTGAATATGCTATTTGGAGGTTGGGCCTGGGTGGTCTCTGGGGGTGACCTAGATAGGTATATTTGTGTGGATGGCTCTTCATTTCTTTCTCTTTTTCTGTGTACCATCTCACGAACAGTTTTAACCTTCCAGGCCCTTTTTCTGTGAAGTTTCTGTCTACTGTGGACTGAACTCACTAAAATTCTAGCCCAACATGTTTCTTTTCTTAGATATCAGGTATTTTTTGCCAGCGACAGGGGAAGTGACTGATACAGGTTACCAAAAACACTTTTTGGTTCAGGAGACTCAACAGACAGCTGCCAAAAGAAACAGGCCTGATCTCCTCCAGGCGAAATGACCTGTACTCAGCCAAGCAGAGCCTTACCCACCAGAGTCCCTCTGGCTTCTAGGAGACCATATTCCCTACTTCTTCTTGTTCTCCTAGTTCACTACCACCCCAAGAAAAATAGCTTCAACAATGGCACTGTGCAGTTTTTCTTACAGCAGTATCTACCTTCCCTCAAGAGACCAGTTCAATTAAATCCACCCTACTTTGCATATTTGTCACTCACCACAAGGAAAGAACCTTCGCTAGGCTGTAATTTGTCCGTCATCACTTAGTCACACAGCACTATGCATCTGCACACCCAATCCAACTTCTCATCCCTCTCCATCCACTAACTAGCTTCTATCATTGCACTTATTTGCAACACATAATCTATCGGCTTCAATCTTTTAATAGAAAATTTCCTTTATTTCTTTTGCTAATGGGAGCTGGCTCTATCTAGCTATTTCCCATTCTGTTTCTCCCCTTCTACCTTTAAGAATCTCCAACTCCTTTAAGTTCTTGAAATTAACTTTACCACCAGCTGTCTACCTTGTAGCAGTCAGCTTGAGACATCTCCTAAGTTAGAGACCTTGGAACAACTGTCACTGTGAAACTTTCCCTCATCCCTACCACTGCTTTGGTTGTCTTGGTAACCGTATTATTGTATTAGAGGAACTAGGCCCTGGATTGTACCTCCCCTCACTACACAATTTTCTCTTGTCTCTAACATCAGACTTCTATTCATCCCTTGCTGCTTCTATCTTTAGCAACTATATAGTCTTATCTTAAAGAATCCTACTTTCTGCACAATCCTAACTCTTGGGTCCATTTACTTTAATTGTATTCTTTTTCTTTCTTTTTTAAAAAATGTCTTTGGTTGTTACAGCGTCTCACTGCACAGCGCAGACTTGTGGTGATCCTCCTGCTTCCAGCCTCCCCAGCGCTGGGATTACAGGCTTCTGCCAACATGCCCAGACTCTGGCTGGTTCAACCGGCTCTGGGGGGGGGGGTTCGGGCTGGCATGGCATGTGGTGTTGGGGATCGACGTGTGGTCCCTGCACTTGCCTAAGCTTGCCTAAGAAGGGGCTTTAGTCTGCTGAGCTATCTCACCAGCCTCTATTTTAATTGTTTTTTTACTAGAACTTTGACATATTAAGCATAAAATTTAAAGAGCAAAGTTTGTAAATATATTTATTTCCTGTTATGAATAACATTTTAATGGAATGATGAATCACCAATAATTACTACAAAAATAATAATCAAATGTATAATGCTAGTTCTGATTGTGAACTAACTAAATAATATCTGTTATTTAGCTTATTGAAAAAATAAAGGAATAAAAGAAAAAAGTCCAAGGGGAAAAACCCAGATAATGACATTGTCTATTAGTAATTTTAGGTCATTAAAATTTTAAAGTATGTGGTTATAATTTCTTTCTTTCTTTTTTTTTTTTGTTGTTGTTCTCTTCTTCTTCGTCTTCCTCTTCGTCTTCCTCTTCGTCTTCCTCTCCGTCTCCGCCTCCGCCTCCGCCTCCTCCTCCTCCTCCTTCTTCTCCTTCTTTCTCCTTTTCCTTCCTTCTTCCTCCTCCTCCTCCTCCTCCTCCTCCTCCTCTTCCCCTTCCTTCTTCTCCTCCTCCTCCTTTTTTTTTTTGGAGGAACCAGGAATTGAACAATTGAACCCAGGCCCTTGTACTTGCCAGAGAAGCACTTATTCTACTGAGCTTTCTCCCCAGCTCCACCTTTTTTTTTCTTAACAGATATGAAAATCCTTAAAATACTTCCAGACAAAATTTGTCTATTCTTGCATAGTTTGTGACTAGATTTTATTTGATACTTCAAAGGCACTGAGTAGACAAAACCTCAAAAGAAACTCATGTTTCAACTATATAAAATGTTAAACTGTAAAAGTGACTCCATATTAAATTTATATTATCTAAAAAATTTAAAGTTTTGCAAATTGAAACAGTTGTTTGTTAAACTAGAAGCTGATTCTTAATTTAATCTCTATAGTGAGAGTCAAAAAGTATAAATAAAATAAAAGCATAAAGTGAATCAAAGAGACATTGTATCTATTTGTAAAGGGAATAAAATGAGAAACAGAGTGCGATCTGCAGCACTGGAAAGTCGCTCAGCTACAGTATAAGCCACCCAGAGGCGTGGATACCTTTTCCTTAAGCAATGAGAAAAGATCCTGTCCTGGAAGCTAAGGAAAGAACTATCCAGGCTTTTGCCATGGTGCCATAGGGTCTTGGTAAGTCATAAAAACAGAATTGAGGGACTGGCAAGGTAGCTCTGTGGTCTAAAGTGCCTGCTTCGACAAACTTAGGCAGGCACAGGGGACTGAGGTTTGACCCCTGGCACCACATGCTGTGCCAGCCCCACCCTGAGGGTGGGCTGAGCTGACCCCGCCCCCCCCTAAAAAAAAAGAAAACTAAGCCAAAGATGGAAACAAATACTCATCTTGTAAGTGTCTCATGGTTCATTCAGCCTTGGCAGAGAAGCAATCTGGTCATCTTCTCTCTCCTTTATCCTCCTTATGGGGCTGAGAATTGCCATCTGTAGCAAATCTGTCCTACACTATTTCTCGCTATTAAGTAGGCTGCAAGTCATGGGTACTCATACTATCGCTGAATATTGTTTTTAAAACAGGAGGACTAATAGCTATTTTTAACAATTAATGTAGAAGTAAACATTATTCATATAAGAATGTCCAGTACCCCTTCATTTTGATTGATATGATACGATTTCAAATCAGTTTTTGGCATAGCACTTATCTGTCTGTTACTCTAAAGCAATGTTATTTCTAAAGAGAAATAAAAATTTTATGGTATTCTTGCCAATTCAGGATTACTTAGTTCTGTGTAGACTCACAAATACTGTTCAGGCAGGAGAATTTGGAAGTCCTACCGGGGGAATATTCTGGGTGGAAGGTTTCTAGAACTCTGAAGATCATACCTTCTTTGCAAGCAGAGGGGCATGGTGTCCAGTCACTGTAGGGGGTCACAATGCAGTCCTTCTTGCAGGGAATCAGACAAGGCCTCACAGTTTCAGGCCGAAGACTTTCAGGACACCTAGAAGAACGAAAAGGAAACTCTTTGTCCTCTGCAGTCCAGCCAGAACACCAGACAGCTTTGGAATTTCTATTGGCAAAATTGTGAAACAGTCACCAAACTGTGTTATTTAACTCCCGATAGCCTTTCTGCTTTTGCCAACTACTATCCACACGATCTGTTCTTTGAACCTGTCCCTAATAGATTGCTTAAACTAGAATGTGTAGGTGTGGCAACAGTAATCATGCTGTCTAAAACAAACTATAACAATTCTATTTCTCACCTTTTAATACTCTCCCTACTAATAAATACATATATTCTACAATGCTTTATCAGAAATGCTGTGGTATTCAGGTTGTCAATTTAAGGACTCAATTCTAGATTTTTGTATAACTCAACAGGCCTTTTGCTTATTATAAGTCTAAAAGTTATTCTATTCTCTCCTTTAGGAAATATGCTTACTATGAAATAAACATAATGAAATATATATATATATATATATATATATTTTTTTTTTTTTTTTTTTTTTTTTGTGGAACCGGGGATTGAACTCAGACCCTTGCGCTTGCCAGGGAAGCGCTTATTCCACTGAGCCATCTCCCCAGTCCCCTGAAATATATTCTTTACACAGTATATGTTTAAAAAACTAATAGCAGCTGTATATTTCACAATAAATCATGGAACTGTAAAAAATGGATAAATCATTACAATAATTTTGTTTGTCTCCTGGTTTTACTTAAAGTATCTTTTTTCTTTCATTTTTCTCTCTAATTATGATATTTAAAATATTTTTATAACCTACATAATCTTTTCTGAAGTAAAAATGGATAATTATACATAAAATAAAAATAGTCAATAAATAATAAATTGGCAAATCACTAAGACTAAGAATACCATTTGCCTTAAGGAAGAATCCACAGTTTTTGGAGGCCAAAGTAAATTATCTTTTACCAACTAAGTTAATTAGGTTTACAAAACTGAGCGATCAGTAAAAGAAATCAATATCATTTATCTATCTCTCATAATATTGTAAATACTATAAATGCATTTAGCCAAAACTACATTTTTGATAGATCATATATTTAATATTGACTTACACATCGTTTCTTGTATGTAAATATGGTACT